CCGCTGCCGCTGCGGCTCTGCTCCCCGTGTCCCTGGTCTGCTGGGGGAGGGGGGGCGCAGCTAGTGTGCCCCCCCCCAGCAGATCAGGCTTTTGTTTTGGACCCTGGGGCAGAGCAGCTGGGGAGCTGCCGATTGGTCTGTATGGTTAGTTTCAGCAGCGGCTGAATCAGGACGCCAGGGGCAGAGCAGATGGGGTGCTTCTGGGTTGGTCCAGTAGCACCGAGGAGCAGCGCTACTGGAGCAACCCAGCAGCAACCCAGCTGCTCTGCCCCAGGTGTCCCCAAGTCAGCTTCTGCTGAAACTGACCAGCGCTGACTACAGGAAGCCCCAGGCAGAGTTGCTCTGCCCCGGGCTTCCTGGAATCAGCTGCTGATCAGTTTCAGCAGCAGCTGACTTGGGGACGCCTGGGGTTCTTAAGTTGATTCTGTATGTAAGTCAGAACTGGCGTCCAGATTCAGCAGTGTCTGAATCTGGACGCCAGTTCCGACTTACATACAGATTCAACTTAAGGCTGACTACAGGAAGCCCCAGGCAGAGTTGCTCTGCCCCGGGCTTCCTGGAATCAGCTGCTGATCAGTTTCAGCAGCAGCTGACTTGGGGACGCCTGGGGTTCTTAAGTTGATTCTGTATGTAAGTCAGAACTGGCGTCCAGATTCAGCAGTGTCTGAATCTGGACGCCAGTTCCGACTTACATACAGATTCAACTTAAGAACAAACCTACAGTCCCTATCCTGTACGTAACCCGGGGACTGCCTGTATTCATTGCTGTGAGGTTAGGATATGAACTGTGCTCTCTTTGTAGGGCCCCTTGCCAGATAAACTGATATTTTACAGAGCTTCTAATTATGCACTGCTCTCCAGTAAGAAACAGAAGAATGTATCTGTTTATATGGGCCTATAGAGAACATCTATTTGCTTGACAGTGACTGTGTATGCTCAAGCAGAATCTTTATATAATGCTGTGCTTATGTTGATGTGTAGAAGCATGCTACTAACAATAGAAAAGATTTTAAAGCAACACAAGAAACCTTAAAATAAAAATCAAAGGCTTGAAACTGCAGTTCTGATGTAAGCAAAAGTGCATACTTGAGTAAGGACTGCAGAATCAAACCTTCATTGCTCAGGGATCTACTCAAGATAGCCCATGCTTCACCAAATGGCAGTTGTCTTGCCATGGGTGTAATAAATGTACTTGATGAAATGCCATCATGGCCAAATTCATTTGATTCTGAGGTTATGATTCCAAAGCAGCTCCAAGGTTCAATAAGCACATGGTTTACAGGCGGATGTATCTCAGACCTCTGTCACGTTCTGTTCCCTTTTGAAAGCCCTACTTAAATTACAAGTTAATTTTCGGCATAACTAGTATTTTAATAACATCCCTTTGTGGCTATCTACTATATATTTGAGAGAATCTGTCTGTGAGACTGCTTGTTCAAGAGAAGCTAGGACCACCAAATTTGGTATGCAGTTTCCTCCTATCATAACTTAAAGCAAGGTCAGGGTTTGTTTGTGCCAGGACAACGGGATGTGCCCAGAACTTGATTGTTTCTAATCAAATGGAAAGAGAGGGGTCTGCTAGCAGCGACATTCATGCTGTTGAATGACCACAGGGGAGCGGTTGTATGGGAAACAGAGTGCTGGCTGGGTGTAGGGCTCTGGCTGTTGCAAGTCAGTTGCAGGTTGCTAATCAGAATGTCAGAGATTCATAGAGCAGTGAAAAGTTCTGCAGAAGTTTAACTACATATCTAGATGGAATTCCTAGAGCAGATTTGTTTTTGAAGATGGCCCTAATACTAGAGCTTTTGTGACTGAGTATAATTATTTTAGCTTTTAAAAAAAATTATAAAAGTTTTGATAATTTTTTTTTATCTGCAGTGTGATTCGTCACAGAGACGTTCGGGCTTGTCACTATGGCGTGATAGACAAATTCCGGCTCCAAGTGTCTGAGCAAAGCCAGAGGAAAGCATTGGGGCGAAAAGAGGTTATTGCTACACTACTTCCATCTTCAAAAGAGCAGCAGCAAAAGGAAGAGGAGGAAAAAAGAATAAAAGAACACCTGACTGAAAGTGTCTTTTTTGAGCAGACTTTGTGTCAACCAGGTAGTTAAAGTCTTACCTAATCCTCTTCTGGATCAAACAAATTGGTGCAGCTGAAATGACTGGAAAGAAGTTACACTATAAGAAAGGTAGTAAAAAGGGAGTCAATGTAGGCTTTATATAAGAGCACATTAGTTATTGTGAAGAGTGGTTATAATGCTCTGGAGCTCACACTATTGCTGTCTTGCTTATTCCTCTTTAGTCAAATGAGAGAGCTATAAACTACTTTGTGCCCCTAAAGTTACATGTGCTATCCAGAGTTGTGGTTATTTAGGTAATGCATCTTTTAAGGGTCCAGTCCTACTACACAAGCAAATTGCCCCTGACTTCAGCAGATGTGGCTACAGAAGGATTGCAGGACCGTGCCCTTGGAGTGAATTTGTTCTATCAGTGTGTGTCTCCAAATATAGTTTTGTCTGTTTCAGAACTTTAATTCTCTACCTTCTGACCAGCAGTTGATACAGCCAAACATTTTCCACACGTGGAACTTGTATGCCATGTTCTGAAATGTACAGAAAAATGGAGTTCTAAATTCCTTCTATGCTCATGCAGTAGTATAGACTAGAGAGTAGAGAATGTACCAGTTGCCATGGATGAAGCATGAGCTGTAGCTAACTAGGAATGGCAGAGTGGGGAGGGTCATTAACTCATTGTTTGTTGTCTTCTAGAAATTCTAATCTTTACTAGACTGGCTGAAAATGCACCTTTTCCCCCACCACTGCCAATACTTCTGATAGCTTAATTCCAGAAAAAGCAGGGATGGGATGCAAATGGGGGAATGTATGTGCTGAAAGTGGCAATTAGGCACGAAGGTGGCAATTAAGCACCTAAGTCCAACATTTAGGAAACACTGGCTTGCACAAAAGCCCTGCACGGCTGCCACCTAACCATCTAAGAGCCTACGGTACTATGGCTCCTATGTTTTCCCCCATTAACGTACTGACACTGCCCAACAAGGCCTAATTCACATCTGAGCCCCAGCAAGATTCACAAAAATAGGCATTCCCTAGGCTGTCTTACCTTCAGGGCCCACTGGTAGGTGTGCTTAGGCCAGTGATTCTCAACCAGGGATATAGGTACCCCTGGGGATATGCAGACATCTTCCAGACATCGAGATTTGCCTAGTTTTACAACAGAATATATCAAAAGCACTAGCGGAGATAGTAACTTGGCATAGAATTATAGAAGTGTAGGACTGGAAGGGACCTCAACAGGTCATCTGTTTCAGTCCCCTGCATCCAAACAGGATTATATAACTACACCATTCCTGACAAGTGTTTGTCTAGCCTGTTCTTAAAAGCCTCCAATGATGGCGATTCCACAACCTCCCTAGTCAGTTTGTCCCAGAGCTTGTCTATTCTGATAGACATTAGGGAAAACGTCCTAACTTAACAATCCCTTGCTGCAATTTAAGCCCATTGGTTCATATCCTATCCTCAAAAGTTAACGTGAATCTTTTCCCCCTCCTCCTTGGCAAAAACCTTTATTTATATATATATATATATATACAGGCCTATCATTTTCTCCAGACTAAACAAACTCAAGTCTTTCCTCAGAGGTCATGTTTCCTAGACCTTTAATAATTTTCATTGCTCTCCTCTGGACATTCTCCAGTTTGCCCACAACTTTCCTGAAAAATGGTTCATGAGAGAATTCTTCTTGTAAAAACAAAATAGTCATAAACTGTTTTAGCATTATATAAATCCCAAATTGGCATGGGACAGTTGTTTTCTTCGGGTGAATGCATCTTTGCACAAATTTCAAAAAAGATATTGTATGCATTAGTGCACCCACTTGATAGTGTAAAAAATGGTCTGATCCCAAAAACCCAGTGGTGCATGTTTATTGTCTTCAATGAAATTTGAATCGGACACATACATGATCCCTTATGCCACAAGTTATAAATCAGTCACAGAGAGATTAGGAAGAAACTTTGCTGTGGGCAGGCTATTTCATTACAGGGTTCCTTGTGGTTTCCACTGAAGCATCTGGTATAGGACACTGTAAATAAACAGAGACTTCTTCAGGCTATGCAGCCTGTTAAATATTTTCCCTTGCAGACTGTCAGCCATGCAAGATCCTGACTCCTAACAAATCCAGGGAATGGAGTCTGTGTGCTTGGTACATTCTCAGGCATTGCTGAAACATCCCATTGCTATGTCTGTGTCAATGAGATAGGCAGTCGGACTCCACCGCTGGGAAAGGAATGGGTTTGGGCAGCGCTGTGAAGCCAAATTCCAACTGTCTGCTGCAGAACAGAGAGTAGCCTCTACAATGCAGAACATGGGGTGCTTGTGGAGTTTTTGCACACACACCAAGACAGACGTTCAATATAGATGGAGCCCTGATTATTCATTTATTTGGTTTATTTGTCAAGATTTGTACAGATGCTCAAAAGGACAACTAGCCATACACCTTAGGTACCGTCAACATCACGTAAACACATCACAAAGAATACCCTAAAAGTGCAGCAGTAAAATTCAGTTCAAGCTGGGCAGTTTCCAAATTCCAGTTCTCCCCCACCCCTTTTCTGAGTTTTCCCACCCATAAATGCCTGGGAAAGAGATGAGTTTGGAGTGTGTCCTGTGAGCATTTGATCCAGGACCAAGTAGGGGGTTGAATTCCCATGTTGCAGAGACTTCGCTGAGACTGTGCAGCCAACAGACCCTTCTAGTAAAACATTTAGGGCTTTGTAAGTCAACATCAGCATTTTAAACTTCATCCAGAAACCAATAAGCAGACAAAACAGATCACTGTGTGCTGGTTTAATATGGTTTAAGTAAGATACTTTACTTACAAAGTGTCGTCTGCATTCTGTTCCGGCTTCCATTTTTAGATGGTTTAAACTGTAGTTCCTATTGTAGTCATCAAATCTTAAAGGTGGCAAGGACATGGATGACAGTTCTCACTTGAAAGGAATGGTCACAACCTTCTAGCTATATGTAAATAATCAAAATTGACCTGGCCATTTCTGCTTTGTCTTCTCTAGTAGGTCTAGATGAGGGTAAACGGTAATGTTTTCTCTAGTACTGTGTTAGTGTTCTATAGCTGTAGTGCAGACATGAGCTGATCAAGTTGAAATCAAGGGGAAGCTAATTTAGGCAGCTTCAGTTCACCTACTAGCAGATGCTAATTAAAATTTGGTGCACTAGAGTTTTAGGTTGTTGTGTTAGCTAGCTCATTTTGTCCTCATCAAGACAAACTCCTGCTGAGAGTCCAGTCAGACCTTTATATTTGGATCCCAACTATGTATACCTTTCCCAGTAAACAAATAATAGGTTTTGAATAATTTTATATTCAGTGAAAATTTCTGTAATTTACTGTTACATTGAAAGTTTAAGAATTTTTCCCATGAGGGGACATCATGCTTGTAAGCTATATCTGTAGATGCATTTTTGTTAACTAGAATCTTCATGTTAATTGATTGTTCAAGCAATTATTGACATTTGATTTTTTCTGATACTTAGCTTCTGTGAGGTATAAAATGATTAAAGTGGGGCAGACATCTAAGGTTCTTACCATAACCAAGCATCACTTTCACTGGTAATGTAAAGAAATATCAAGGATGTCATAAAAGCATAACAAAATATATTTACAGTTCTTCAGAGGGAAGAGAGCTGTTGTGGATAACCTAGCTAACCTCTAATGCTTCTGCCGACTGAGAGGGATAGTGTTTATTTCTTAAACCCCAAGAAAGTCGTCTTATTGAGTTATTTTACAGTATTTTTAGGAAGAGAGTATCTTTGTACTACCTCCATATAAATAATGTGTCCATTGTACCTTTGTCTCCAACTCTGTCATTTGGTCTACAGAACTGCAGTCTACCCGCAATATTCATCCAGTATTATTCACCAAAACGAAACTACATGGCGTCCCATTGTTTAAAGGTTTTATTAGTACGTTTTGGTTAAATGTGCTACCAGTCCTGTTGAAAACATTATAAAACATTAATTCGAGGATGACTTGCATATGTTTTAAGAGGAATTTTTAAAGTTATATTGGTATTATTTCTCCTCATTCTACATTTGTAAGCCAGGCTGCCTAATCCCCATGAGCCTAACTCTATAGGCAGCAAGAGGAGAGAGGATCATATGCAATGACATTTTCTATAATAATATCTAAAAGGTCTTCTGAGAGTCACTATGTTGTGATTGCAGTTGGTACCATAATATATTAGCTCTGGAAACTGATGACTTACATCAGTGCAATGTACGGATCCTCAACTCTCCAACTATATCACGGACTATTAGACCAGAACTGTGCCACAGGATCAGAGATCCTGCACTTCCCACTAGTGTTAACTTGAGGGCTGGGTCCGGGGAAATGAAGAGAAAAGAAGGAAATGTGTTTGTAATTTGTCTTCCTTTAGGAAAAATGATGTTTGAAAACAGTCTGGTGCTTTGAAATGTTAAAATCAGTCCCAGCAGAGTTTGAGAAATGAGCTGAGTCTAGATGAGGGGATGAAAGGAACATGGCAAATGCAAATCCCATGATTCGTCAGCATCTCACACACACGGAC